TGCGGGAGAGGATGTGCCCAGCCGGTATTTTTCCCAGACATGTTTGGCTTTTTGGCAATTCCCCCCAGACGGGGGTTTGATTGCCGAAAAACCGGACATATGGTAACCCTAGTATTGCTAGCTGGGGAGGCTCAGATATATTGGTTTAAATTGGTTTCGCCAGAGACCAATAGACAAAGAAAGTAGCTTTGGATAAATAGCCTAAGTTGAAACTGACTAGGGGCTTGCTTTCTGATCCAGCAAATGGACAAGACCTACTGTCTGGGACTGCAGGGCAGTCCTTGCAGAAGGGGTGGAAGGACTTGACCTGTGAGGGCCTCATAAGACTGATGGGTGACCTCTGGTAAACTTTTAGCATGCATATAAGAACTTATTTTTTCCTCTGTAATGCTTTCACCTTAATAAAGGTGCTTACTCACCAAGAGCTGGGTGGTAACTTGTAACACACTGTTTGTAGCCTTTGGAGGAAGAGGAAAATGCAGGCCACCAGGCTTTTTAGGGAGTCTGGTTTGCTGGGGTTATCAGAGTGTAAGCAGGGACCTGTGCAGCCATAAAACTCCCAGTCACAAAGGGAGTGAGATTGTAGATATCTACTCAGGAAAGGTGACAACTGGGAGCCAGAAATCTTTAAGTGGTTGCCCTCAAGGGACCACATGGGAAAACAGGATCACTTACTCTGAACATGAGACAGTAACACCTAGCTTCTACTAATATAATCTGTCCAACTCTCACCTCCTAGTCAAGCCATTTTCAGCTATTATGAAAGAAAAACTTCCTGATTTTAGTGTTCACTGACAGACCTATAATCCACAGGTTCCTTGTTCTTGACTTAATTTAAGCAAGTTCATTCAGTTTTGGCCCTATCTACATTATAATTAGAACTAGGTTGGGGGGACCCCATTGTAACATGATTAACTGATGTAGTATAAACATGACCCTGCCCCATGCTAAAACACTGTACTATTCACATTTAAAATCAATACTTGTGGCAAACTTTCATCTTCCCCAATTCTTACTACTACTAGTGGGGAAAATTAAAGTTTCGGGGAGGAAGCAACCAGGTGAGAAAGAGATTGTATCTGTGTTGTCTCAGAAAAGGAGATAGCGAAAGCAAAAATGAAAAATCAGAATGGCAGATGCATGACACTCCCATGGATTATAAATTCACAACTCTTTTAGGAACCAGCTTGAGGCCCTCTGCCTTGACCACCACCAACCTGACACCTCATATTAAAGAGCATCTTGTAGTCAGGACCAATTGGGGTGGCGGGGTGGAGAAAAGGACACACAAAAGGGGCAGTTTTCCCTGGGGAAACAGAGTAGTCCTGTGAGCTGGCAGTAGGGACACAGTGCCACTCAGGTTTGGCCTGACCACCCTCCCCACCCTGTCACAAGGAGGGGGTTGGGCACCAGGCCAAACCTGAGTGGTGACGTGACCCCGCATACCAGGTTAGAATGCCACTCACTGACATTTGGTGCTGGAGGGGCAGCTGGGCCAAACCTGAATGGAGCTGGACCCTACACGCCAGGTCACAACACCTGGAACAGGGAGCTGGGCCCAGCCCTGTGGGACAGGAGTCAAGCTGCTGCTCTGGGGTAAGTGAAGGGCAGACTTACTCTTCAACAGTCCATCCTCCCCACCCCCCATACTTTTTTTTTAGGTGGAGGAAGGCCTGAGTTTCAAATTTTGCTCTGGTCCCCCCAAAACAGCGGGGCAGCCTGCCCACAATTCCCCTAGCAGTGTGCTGATGCACTGGCTCATAAGTGATGGAAGGAAAAGCTACAGATAGTTGCATCATTGGTATTTCCTCTGCAGTATTTTGATTTTCTGGGGGGCCTAACACTGCCTCACTTGTGAAATATGCTGCTATCACAGTCTAAGTCACAGTGACAGTCGTTGTAGCATTTCACTTAATACTTCTAGAAACAGTTTTTAATTTCCAAAATCAAAGTTGAGAGTTTCAAAGCTGATTAGATTTAAGTACCTTTGTTAAGGTTTGTCTAGGGGAGATTTTTTTAGTTATAGCAGTACAATAACTAAAGTACTATCGTTATACCGGAATAACTCCACCACTGGACATTCTTATTCTGAAATAAGAATGTTTTTTTTTAGTTTAGCTTAAACCGCTTCCAACGTGGCAAGCTAACCTGCAAAAAGCCACTCTTTTATACTGGAATAAAACATGTTAGTTAACACATTTTTAAAAACCACTGATTTTCTGAGTCTGAGCAAGCCATGGAAAATTATCCAACATAAATGTGCAAAGAGAAAAGACTATATTGCCATCTTCTCCTCTACTATGTATCTCACAGCAAGAGACAATTAGTCTCCTTTGGAATTTAAAATTGGGAAAAATTTACATTGGAGTCTATGGTCCCTGTGGCACATTCCAGTGGGAGCTATACAAATTAGTCTGCAGTATTACTGTTTAATGAAAGAAGTTCTGTGTAGGACTAAGTCTAGTTACAAACAGCAAAGCAATGTCTTAATCAGAATAATTTTACAATCAACCTAAATATACCGGACCCTCGCTAGAACGCAAGATTTGGGATCCATGAGCGGTACTGCGTTAACGCGGGGACCGCATTAAAATGAATTGCAATTAAAGTAATTACATTTGGGTTCCATGGCCGTGACCGCATTATATGTGAATTCGTGCTATACAGACGTGCGTTCTAGCGAGGGTCTGGTGGTACTGAACAATTTAGGCAAAACTGAAGAGCTGGTTTAGGAGTTGTAAAGGATTTGTAGCTGAACAATAGTAGTATCACCATCATATGCTTCAGCTAGTCCCCAGATTAGAGACTTCAGTTTAGGTAGTCAAACTATGTTTAGTGTTAATTCAAAATAACCTTAGGCCTTGCATCCATGAAATATCAAAATACAACAGTATATTCTAGAATATAAAAACAATTGCTTGGATGCTTAGTGTTCATTTGGTGCCAGTTGTGAAGTATGAGAGGCATGCTTCTCACTATCCAAGTATCCATAATTTTTGTCCTTGCTGTTTTTCGTGACAGGTTACCCAAACACTGTAAAACAGTACTCAAGAGGAGAAAACAGGTGTTGGTGAAATTGAACTTCAGCTTTTAATTGAACAAATCCTTATGTTCTTAAACCGCATGGAACTAGATCCAACTCCCAGTGAACTGAGTGTGAATTTCTCTGTTGATTCCTAGTGGAGTTGGATTGGGCTTAATTGGCTCACTACTATACCCACTGAAGCCAACAGGGACAAGACTGAGCTCTAGGTACAGTTAAGTAAACTAAATTTGCCAACAAAAAATCTTCAGGAAGTAAGTTTTAGTGCAGTTCAGGTAGCAATCAAAAAATCAAAATAAACAACCCCTTCTTTCTTTACAGGAATTCTACACCTTACCAAAAAAAGTAATTAAATTTACATCACTCACCTAACCGTAGTTTTGCCCAGTCTTGTTCTGCAATGGAAATAGCCTGTTGATTTTATATATTTTTTGTTTAATTAAGAAGTGTCCAAGTTTCAAATGGAATAAAATTTTAGGGTAAAGTTGTATTGGTTCTATACATTTTCGCACTTTCTTCATCGAGAAAAAGGGCATGGACATGTCCATTGAGAGTACCAGCAAACTGTGACACAAAGCTAGCTTGCTGGCTCCACATCATCTGGGGATTGTCCTTTGCTGGTAGAATCTTCATATAATTGATTAAGATGGTTTTAAGTTGCTTTGTTCCCAGAGCTGTATAAAAGAACCTTAATATGGCCCTGTATCTGGCCCTATAACTTTAAAATAGCTGTTAGGATTTCATTTCAACCTTCCCAGAAAAATTCTACCCTGGAATGAAATGCTGCACATGAATTTTCAGGCAGACTGGTTTCGTTTTGGGAAGTAGTGAGCAGAGGCTGGAAATTGAGCTTATTGTGGGATGCAATCTTCACCATTAAGTAGCTAGTACTATTCCATAATGAAAATGAAATAAACAATGGCACAGCAAAACAATTACTGTAATCATACATTGTACACAAAATATACAATGTTCATAGATAACCTGTCCGTAGCTCAAATTCTAAGTCTGTTACAGTCAAGGTGAAAGCAATTATATGTATGTAATCCATGTTCTCTATGATTAAAATTTGCAACATATTTACAGCAGGGTAGAAAAGATTTGAAAATGTTTTCTGTTTACCACTACTGCTAATGTGAAATAACCATTATTAAAATTCAGAAATTAGGTGTGAGCGAAGATTCTCCAGTGTCTTCAAGAGATAACGCCTGAGACCAGGCATACAATTTAGCTGCCTCATGCTCCCACTCTTCATCTGAAAAGACAGAATGCTCCTCAAGGTCTTCAATTGGTGCAGTCATAGTTTCTTGATGTTCAGTGAAGTGGCTTCTATTTGTAACATCCAATTTCTGTTCCTGAACAACATTATACACACTATTACATCAAAGCAGGAAGAATTGTCTACTACAGATCACATTATATAGCTTTGTAGTAAATTCAGATACACCAAACAGAACTCAACATTAGAGATTTTCTATTTCTCACTGTTACTTGAATGCCAAAGCAAAGCCAAGACATGCATTTTTCAAATCTAGAGGAGCTAACTCTGTGACAGGATTGTGTTGCAGTTACTAATTCAGAGTATGAATGTTAGGACAGATACGTTTAAAAGGTTTTGAACACCACTGTTAAAAGAAATATTTAAGTGTATTTAACAGTTTTAAGAAATAAAGGAAATATTAGTATGTCTGTTCAGTTGTTGCTATCCATTACCTTAGAGATTTATATCAGGGGATAGCCGTGTTAGTCTGTATCCACAAAAACAACAAGGAGTCCGGTGGCACCTTCTGTTAGTCTTTAAGGTGCCACTGGCCTCCTTGTTGTTTAATAGATTTTGTATTTCTCACTGTTATTATTTGTCACTGTTACTTAACTGAGGAGCCTATTGGGTGAGAAGTCCAAGCTAGGAGGTTTGCAAAGGACTGTGAGTCAGGAGGGAAGGCTATAAGCAAGGATGATGACGAGCTGGAAAGACTTTTGATTAGAGCTGGGTGAATAACAGTATTTTTTTTTTTTTTGCAGTTGGAAAGCAATTATTGGTTTGGGTTGAACTGTAATTTTTTTTTTTTTAATTTCATGACTCCAACTAGTTGGGGAAAAAATTGGGTTGAATGAAATGTTGGGTTTTTTTGTTTGCTTCAAAGTGAAACCCTTTGGGTATTTTTAACCTTTTTCATAAGAGCAAAAGGAAATGAAGGGCTAGAGTCACAAAATGTTCTAAGCTGTAGATTTGTGGTTAGAGCATTCACCCAGGATTAGGAGACCCAGGCTCCAATATCTCTTCTGCTTTATGTGGAGCAGAGATATGAACCCACATCTTCCACACTGCAGGTGACCATTCTAACCACTGAGTTAAAGATACTACTATCCATCGTATGCAAGGAATGAGGCTAGGGTCCTGTGGAAAAAATGTGTGATCATGTAAATCAATACTATATCACACTGCATACACACACAGGGGTGTATTAAGGTTTCACAGGCAACTTTAATTCTGACATTTCCTAACTTTTGTGTGCTGGACATAATATTTCAACATAGCTCTTGTGTGTATAATTTCCTAGATGTCTAAAAAAACAAACAGAAAAAATCAGCAATTCCATTAGGTGACATTATACTGACAGCTGCAGGGTTGAAACCTTAGATCCATAGCAAAGACCTCTGCCATTTGAGCTGAGTAACTGATAACAATAGTAGGTTTTTTATCCTCTATTAGGACCAGCACTAGAGGGTGCTGGGATTAGAAGGGAATTGGACAATTTCGCAGATATTTGCTGACAGCAGAGGAATGCTGAGGCTCAGGAATCTTGGGTTCCAGTCCAGATTCTGGAGGTAAGTGTGCTCTACGGGTACAGACTCTTCTGCCCATTCCCCTCACCAGCTTGACCCATCCCGCCCCATCCCTCCAACCAGTCACTCTCCCAGTTCTTTCTCTACCCCACCATAGCTCCTCATCCCAGTCCTATTCTCTTAACCTAATCTTCCCAGCCTCCATCCTCAGACTTCTACTGCTAGTCCTAGTCTCGCCCCTCCAGGCTTCTTGCCAGCGGCTCCTTGCCCAGCCAGTCCCAGTTCCTCCCTCCTCCTTGACTTGTCTCTCTCCATCTCCCCAGCCTCCAGTTGCCTGCCCACATTGTCTCTCTACTGGCTCCCAGTTCCAGTCTCCCTTCCTGCCCTTCTCATCTAATGTGTCCTCTCCTCCCCCCAGCTCCTTGGTTCAGTATCTTTATCCAGCCAGGCCCAGATCTCACCCTGCATCCTGGCTGCTTGTCACATCTCTCTCTACTTTCTCCTACGCCATTATTTCCCAGTCTCTTTGCCCTATCAGTCCCACCTCCCGCTCCTGATCAGATTTTCTTCTGCCTGCCTCACCTCCCTGCAGCTCCCAGCCTTTAGTCCCTGCAATGCCTTAGGTCTGTTTTTTGTCCAGGCTGCATTTGAATTAGAGGGCTTTCTCCCCCCATGCTGCTTGGGTACCTGCCTATAATTGCAGGCCAATGAGTATTTCCAATACAGACTTGGTAGAGTATTCACCTGAAAAAACATTCAGTGCATTTTCTATTTTGTATCATTAATGACTGATTTACCTCTCTTTCTTTTTCAAGTGCATGAACTCTTTTCATTTTTGCTACTTTCTGTCGAGCTTGGCGAGAGCGACGCACTGAGGGGCTAGGCAGTGAAGAGGGTTGATAAGACCTGTGTGAAGAGGTGGCTGTTGAAGGACAAGGTGTAGGAGACCTAGAAAATGTGAGCATTATGTAAAGAACCTAAATATGAAACATCTTGAAATTTATGTCAGATCTGCAATGCTGAATGCTTAAACCAATGAAAGATTTAAAAAAAACAAAACCTCCTAGACCACATACATGAATGCAAGTTATGAAGCCATATCCATTATTTCAGGAAAAAATGGTTATAATATGTTTAAAAAATAGAAAATTCTATTTTAGTTCTAAATTCTCAGAATCCTTTCTTTATATCAGGAGCCCCACTTCTCTTAGTACATCCCATAATCCTTCCGCATAGCAGAGCCCAGAGGTATTAGTGTCCCCAGGTAGCTTGCATGAAATTGGAGTGCACACATCAGACCTCAAAGATGGTATAATGGGTGCATCAGGCAATCTGGCAATTATGTTGTTTCTGACACACAGATCTTCCTCACTATCCCCTCTCCCGGCCTCTAAGGTTCCTCTCTTGTGGCTATGTTCCAGACCTCACAGAGGTTACAATTTTGCAGACTGTGCCTAACTAAATAGTCTTTCCAAAAAAAAACAGTCAGAAGCCTCAGGGCTCACTGAAGCAGTATGTTACACTGCAAAGAAAAACCCACAGCGCTGAGTGTCAGAGGCCAGATCAATTGACTTGGGCTTGCAGGACTCAGGCTGTGGGGCTAAAAATAGCAGTGTAGACAATCCCACTTGGGCTAGAACCGAGGATCTGAAACCCTGAGAGGGGAGAAGGTCTCAGAGCTCAGATTCCAGCTTGAGCAGGAATATCTAAACAGCTATTTTTAACCCCACAGCAAAAGCTCTGCATGCCTGAGTCAACTGAACCAGGCTCTGAGATTCAGTACCAGGGTTTTTTCTCTGCAGTGTAGACATACCCAAATACTTCAAACTTGAGTTTCTAGAACTAGCTTACCTTTCTTGGAGTTAAGGTACCAAAACAAAACAAAAAAACACACCATTTTGCAAAAAGATAAATACCTCTAGTTTTTCAAGCTCTCCTATATCTCCAACACTTTGTCTACCACCAAACTTTCCTTAAAAAACCCGAGAAGCACACAAATGTATTCAGGCCATGTTAGTTCAGTTTTGTTAAAATTAGAAGAGAAACTTTATTTAAAAATCAGGGTTGTGATACAAATGGAAGTATAGCACTACTGTTTCTCCATAATTTAGCTTTTACCTACTAGGGTTGCCAGGAGACTGGTTTTCAACCAGAATGCCCTGGGGGCTCTGGTCAGCCTTGCTGACCGGGCCGCTAAAAGTCTGGTCAGTGGCGCAGCAGGGATAAGGCAGACTTCCTGCCTGCCTTAGCTCTGCACGGCTCCTGGAAGCGGCCCTGCAGTCCCTAGGTACAGTGGCGGCCAGGGAGGCTCCACGTGCTGCCCCTGCCCGCAGTGCCAGCTCCACAGCTCCCATTGGCTGGGAACCATGGCCAATGGGAGCTATGGGAGCGGTGCCTGCAGACGGAGGCAGCGTGCAGAACCACCTGGCCGCACCTGTGGGACATGCTGGCCACTTCCAGGAGCCGTCTGAGGTAAACGCCACCCAGAGCCCACACCCTGAATGCCCTCCTGCACCCCAACCTCTTGCCCCAGCCCTGATCCCCCTCCTGCGCCCAAACTCACTCCCAGAGCCCGCACCCCCTCCCGTACTCTGAACCCATCGGCCCAGCCTCCTCCTGCACCCCAAACCCCTCAGCCCCACTCCAGAGCCCGCACCCCCAGGCAGAGCCCTAACTCCCTCACACTCCAACCCCCTGTCCCAGCCTGGAGCCCCCTCCCGCACTCTGAGCCCCTCATTTCTGGCCCAACCCCAGACCCTGCAACCCCAGAGCCTGCATCCCCAGCCCAGAGCCCATACCCCTTCCCTCAACCCGATCCCTGCAAGTGAGCAAGGGTGGGGGAGAGTGAGTGATGGAGGGAGGGGAGATGGAGTGAGCCAGGGGGCGGCGCCTTGGAGAAAGGGTGGGGTAGGGGCGGGGCCTTGAGGAAGAGGGCAGGAGAAGGATGTTCAGTTTTCTGCAATCAGAAAGTTGGCAACCCCATTGCCTACCTGTCTGCTCATTTCCTTTAGCTCACTCATGTGTTTCTGCCCAAGTCACATGATTAACAACCCTTTGTTTCCTTTTCCTACTCTCATCTCTGTACCTTCTTCCACGTGCCCCTGATGACTAAAACTCCTTTTCTAGCCTATTGTCATGCCTCAATCCTCTCCTCCTTCAAGGTGACCCCCTTAAAACAAATTTAGTTAACAAGCCTATAAACCCTAGCCCACCTCTCAAGGAAATGTTAACTGATGATAACAACAACAAACAAAGTATCATGGAACCAGTTAGACAGATGGAAACAATCATTGCTGTGACATTCCCCATCCATTCTCTAGATGTATTTATTTAGGTCCCAAACTTGCAAACACTTAAACACATGCTTAACTTTAAGCATGGGAGTAGTTCCATTAACTTCCATGTAACTCTTCCCATGCTTAAAGTTAAGCATGAGAATAAGTACAGTATTTTTATAATCTGGGTTTTAGAATGTAAACTCTTTTCAGCGGAAACTAGTTGTCTGTAGGGCACTCAACACACTTTTAGCATTATATAAAAATATAATAGCCAACATATTCAAATCCTTGAGAGAGCAGAGTATATATATATGCACTAGCAAAAATTTCTGAAAAAAAGACATGAAAGTCAAAGTCAAAAGTAACATGAACATGGTAATCCAGCCTAAAGTTACATAGTCATAAAAAAGGTAGCACTTAATAGTAAAGAAAGGATTGCTTTCCTAAATGAGAGAGCAAAAATGGATAAACTTGCAGGCACCGTCATCTATTTAAGTGTGTGTATGCATTTCCAATGTAGATTGTTATATCAGTGAGTGCCTAACACAATCAACATATTTATGTTTATGATTTGTTTAAAAGTAATATTCAATTTTCCTCTTCCTAGGAAACAAACTATTGAGGGATAGTTTTTATTTTGAAAATGATTTTTTAAATTGTATGTTTATGAAATTAAAAAGATAACCATGACACACTGGATGACTCGAGAGGCTGCTAATTGGATGCAGAGACTCTCAGCTATGCTGTAAATTCAAATCCAAAGAAGCAGCTTGATTCAACTCCACTAAACGCTAAGAGTTTGTCTACACAGCTCTGCAGTTCAGACTAAGGTGGGGGGTGGATTGCAGCACGCAATAGCACGTTGTGCTGTAACTCCCCTGATATACATCCTGGTGTTAATGCGTACCTAGTTCGCATTCACTTAGTTCTGGTTCACATTCACTTAGTCCAGAGGAATATGTTAACATGAATTAGATATCTTTTAGTTTGCACCACCAGCAGCCACATGGGGAGTTGCAGCACAACACACTAGTGCAGAGGTTCTCAAACTGTGGTCCACGAGCTCCATTCAGGTGTTCTGCGGATAGTTCCCTCTAAGGTGCATGCCTGGGCGGCTGCACACGAGGGAATGAAGGACCACCCACCTAATTAGTGGAACCATGCAAGCATGGCTTCATTAATTAGGTGCCTGGACCCTGGAGAAGATGCACATGTAAGGTGAGGGGGTGGCTTTGGGGGGAATAGGGAGTAGGTGGGAGGGGGCAGTGGGGTGAGAAGAGGGGGTGGGGCAAATTTGGGACCTGCAGGGCTGCAGCAGCCAGAGAAAGAGGTGACTTTCCCCAGCTCCAGGGCTCCGGGGAGAGATGACCCTCCTTCCCAGCCTCACCTCTGTGGCTGTTGTGGCGGGAGAGAGACCCCCCTCCTTCCCAGTCCAGCTCAGTGGCTGTCGCGGTGCGGGAGACCCCCCTCCTTCCCAGCCCCAGTTCCGGGGCTGCCACAGCGGGAGAAAGAGGGCACAGCCATCGCATTAGAAAGGTAAGACTACTGATACTGAAATGAGTTGTGTGCTTTTATTTGTAGAACAAAAAAACGTTAATTATTATTAAAGTTTTTTTTTATAGAGCTTTTATCCAACACGCTTTACAATAGTTAGCTAACGGTACAAACAACATTTGGAAAGATCATTACGTGGTCTGCCGAGACCCTCAGCAATTTTCAAGTGGTCCATGAAAAAAAAGGTTGCGAACCACTGCGCTAGTGGATGTTGTACTTCACAGCCCCATGTTCCAAACTGTGGGACCATATAGACATAGTCTAAGACTCCCTTGACCTTCACAAGGAGTTGGACTGCATGGTTGCCAGTTGCCATGAACAGAAAGCTGTTCAGTGAGCTAGGTGATCTCATTCTAATTATTAATGCACAGATGACCACATTAGAAAATTACCAGTTGTAGCACTAATTGACACCCTTGCTAGCAGTGTCAACAATCTATGTACCTTGTAAGTGAGCTATTCAATTATGCAAAGGAAAGGTGTTGAATGCAGGGAGGGAGTGGCATAAGAACTCTGGAATTAAAGCTGGGGATTGCTGTGGACTAAAGATAAGGAGGTGGGAGACCAAGAATTTAATGCACATTGAACTAAACAAAAGTGTCAAAATAAAACCGTCACTACTAAGATGTGTGTCTGTCATCAGGTGGATTACTTTGCTTCCATGACATATGGATTTCTTTCACCCTTCATCTGCCTTCATAATTTTAGATTATAAACTCTGCAGTGCAGAGACTGTCGTCATCTGTGTTGGGGGAAGCAGCTAAGCATACAGGGTGCTGCCACAACGTAAATAATAAAAATGACAGCTGAATGGGAATAGAAATCCAACTACCATTTCACCTAGTAGACATGGGCCCTTCGAAATACTTGAGGTATATTGGTGGGGAATCACAGGGAAGTTTGCATGATCACTGCCTACACTAGGGGTAGGCAACCTATGGCACGCATGCCAAAGGCGGCACACAAGCTGATTTTCAGTGATACTCACACTGCCCGGGTCCTTCACCAGTCTGGGGAGCTCTGCATTTTATTTTAATTTTAAATGAAGCTTCTTACACATTTTAAAAACCTTATTTACTTTACATACAACAATAGTTTAGTTATATATTATAGACTTATAGAAAGAGACCTTCTAAAACATTAAAATGTATGACTGGCACGTGAAACCTTAAATTAGAGTGAATAAATGAAGACTCGGCACACCACTTCTGAAAGATTGCCAACCCCTGGCCTACACCTATGCTGTGAACCACTGGTTGAACAGATGACTTCATACTTCATGGCTGTCAATACAGTAATATAGCTGAGAATGTAACTTTTTCTAGGGGACAGGCAGAGGCCTGCCAATTTTGACAGTATTCCTTTAATTAAAATGAAAAAAACTGAAAAAAATCAGTTGACTTTAAAAAGACCAGAAAAGGAAGTTTAAAAAAAGATGTGCTGACAATCAACGCAAGAATGACATGACTCAGTGTTGTGTTTTCCATTTCAGTGAACATACTTAGAGAAAAGATTTGGAGTAAGGCCTCTTTTAAAATCAAGTAGATTTGTGATTTAAAAGAGACTATCAAGACATGCCAGCCCCTTGGCATTGACACTAATTATTTCTCAGTATGTGTTAGTGAGAAACACATTGATGTTTAATGGTAGAAGTTACAAAATGGTAGCAGTAGTTTAAATAGGAATATAAAAGAAAATCCAATTTTCTCCACTATATGTTGAGATTTGTGGTACATATTTGTTATTATATTGCCAGTAAATGATCATGCAAATCTTTTTCTACTAAAAATTAAAATGTTGACTTGTTGGACAATCCCTAAGACAATATTATTTAGTGGATAACGCAAAGCACTAGGAGTATCTCCTAGGTTCTATCCTTGACTCCATACTGACTTAGTGTATGAACTTTGGCAAGTCACTAAACTCCTCTGTGCCAGTTTACCCATCTGTAAAATGGGAATAATTTTACCACTGGTGTTTTGTAAACATTAATTAATACGTATTTTGAGATCCTTAAAATAAAGTACAAAGTATAGAAATTCAAAATAAAAATTAAGCTTGTTATTGTGGATAAATTGTTGGGTATTTTTTTACCTGACTCGAGAAACAGTCATGAGTTGATCATGCCGTAGCTCTTCATTCTGTGGCCTCAGGAGCAGAAATGTCAGTTTCTCCTTAAGTCGGTTTGACAGTGTCCCAGACTGTGCATAATCCATTATGTCATACATTATCATTGTCCTGGGAAAGTTTTCCAGAGACAATTTTCTCCAGCAGTTATCCCTGCCACCACAGTATGCTGGGGTCTCATCCAGGTTACTGATATACTATAAGGCAACAAAATAATAATATTAATTTATAAAATAAATGCTTGCAATAAACCTAATTCATTTTATTGGGGTCCCAAGTCTCCCCTATTCATATTTTCTCGTCCTCATTAATCATTTTAATGATGAACTTGCACATTAAAGAAAACCTCATTCAGAGTAAATCAAATGGTTGGAACCCCTGAAATGACCTACTCTGCTTTAAAATTCCTATAATACAATGACATCTGTTCTCTGGATATCTGTATCTACCTCCCTTACATAAATATACATATAATTATAATATAATCACCAAATTTAAACTGATCACAAAAATATGCATATGTACATTAATAGCCTGAGTTCCTTCACTGCTCTATAGTAACAAATAATTACTTGAAATCAGAGTATTGTTTATAGCCATCTTTATGTGTCACCGTCCTTCCTAAATCTGGGTGGCATAGCCAGTCATCCAGGATTTGGCCCTAATTTTTTAAATATAGGAATTAACCAGAAAAGGTTTCACTGCACTACTCAAGCGTCAGCACTTCTTGGTGATGATTCTTCTCTCACTTATACTACTGTAAATCAGCCGTAATTCCATCAAAATCAATATACTAACACTGGTCTTAAAAAAAAAAAAAGGTACTGATTCTCTTCTTACTTTTTCCATTTAAAGAGTATCACTGTTATCAGATTGATCTTTTAAAGATTTCTACCATCCTTGTGTAACCCTGACAATACACATTATAGAAATTAATCCATACAACTTCAATAACTTCTCTGGAGCTTCACAATCATAGGGCTTCATTCTCCACTGCCTTGTAATTTGTAGTCATTTACATCAGTTCAAGGTGGATGTAAAACGCTACCAAATCAGATTTCTGCATTCACACGGAAGTGCTTGAGGTACCCTTTACGCTCATTTTGAGCTGATATAAATGGCTGCACAAGGTGTAAGCTGTTGAGAATTAGATCTTTAAATTTTAGTCTTGCAGTCATACTCACTATCTATATTTTAGATCACATCATAATCTTTTTTCCCAAAAAGAAGGTTTTTTTTATTACCAAAACCTGTAAGAAAATATTTGAAAACGTTTCTTACTTGCATGTAATCTTTCACTGTAGCAACGTCTATTTCGTCTATTATTTTGTGGTTTTGGTACTGAAGTTCATCCCATATCATTTGATCATAATATTTCCGATGTCCCATCAACTTGCAAGCATCAGCTGCTGCCTATAAAAGACAGGAAATATGCTGTAGCTAAAAAACACCAAAAAAACACACACAAAATTCCTAGAGTCCTCATACTTCAACTCAGGGAAAAGTCTTAATCCTCCTGAAATCCCAGTGCTCAACAAAAAATTAAAATAAACAAGGCATTCTAATTAGTACACAGAAAGCTCACAGCGATTGGAGATGGATTGTCCACTAACTCTGCATTATTAATACTATTATTTATACAATTGTTGCATCTAGAAGCTCTAATCATGGACTAAGAATGCCATTGTGCTAGGTGCTGTACAAACAGAAAAGCCTGTCCCAGCCAGCTTACAATTTAAATATAAGACAAGAGACAACAAATGGATACAGACAGTCAGAGGAATGCAAGTAAACAATGAGAAAATAGTGGTCAGCATAATGGTGAAACAATTTCAGATACAAATTTGAAAATAATGCTTAGTGACACAGCTGCTTCCCCCAGATGCACCAGGTAACTAATCTAGGATTTACCTTTTAGATGGAAAATTAAAAGTTAATTATTCAGCCTCTAATTAACTCTTATTTCATTCATCTAAACTTTCACAATGACAGTTACATTTGCCTCCTTGTCCCTCTGACAGCATTATTGCTGGAATGGGTAACAAGATCTGTAGTTAGGGTCCTCTTCAGATATTTACAGCTTTTTAAAGCCTTCATCTCTATGGCTGAAATTTGTCGTCTGATTTTTGTCTAAGGGTGGTTGTTGTTTAAGTGTGAGACTCTGTTTAGCACTGATTCAGAAGGTTTTGCTCCACATTCTCAACTTGTATAACTTGTTATAGTGCTATTGAAGTCAATGGAGCTATGGCAGATCAGCTAAGGATCTGTCTCTTTGAATATAAAAAAACCCACTTTGCCAATATAAAAAAATGGATTCTTCTAAATGTTGCAAACTTTTTCAAACAGCTTTAACACTTTAGTAGTTTGGAGTAGACATTAGAACTTTAACATCCCTCTGATACAGAAATGTCTGTATTTCAATGGTGTATAATTACTAGGATCTCTTGGTATTAAAGATGTTATAAGAAAGGTAAAGTTATTATATATAAAAATAATTGTTTGGGCCATACCCAATTTTTCTGTTGTAAGAGTGCTGAGGAACTGACTCCTGAGCAGCCACCAAACGTGATGGAATTAAGAATAATTTTTTTAAAATTACAAATGAAAGCTACATGCAAACACCAGAAAAATTCTTTCTTGCAAAGCTGCCACCCTCCTTCATTTCACAAAAAGGAAATTATATTCATTCATGAGTGACTGAATTAGTCAATAACACTATATTGACACAGCAACTTTTTCCTTACTTGGGTGGAATAAACCTAAAAAACGGGCCTCTTTGCTTAAAATATAAAGATGTTCTCACTCATGTTAAATATAAGCTAAACTGTATAGGTTGGAAGATCAGCAGGTACTGACCACTTGCATTTCTGACTTATCATGCTGTGCTATAAATATATTAAGACATAATATATCAAATGAAGTATAACGTCATGATGCAGTAAACTGTATCAAGCAGCACTGATGCAATGACAGAACTTCTCTAAAATATACTACTGTATTGGAATGTTAATTTCTGCAGTATTTCACTATTTGGATGTTTAGGGTAGTGCTTACAGACCAATTTAGGCAGTTTATGGGACTCTTCTTTACTCCATCATTTTTGAAACACCAGTGTGGTCATTTTGTGTTCTTAAACTATTTCCTCTAGTTTGGTATCCACCATGGCAGTGTGTTTCTTCTAACTGGAAAGCTAGGTGAGCAGCCTGCTCTGAGGCCAAGGGTGATCCAAGATTCTGGCAGCTGATGTTTACAAAGTAGACAAACCCAGATCTACAAAGGGAGTTAAGAACCCAAGTCCCACATCCACAAAACCCCTGCTCTACTGCCACCTAACCATATAAGTGCCTAAACTCACTCGGCACCTACATTTTCACTGCAAGAGGTCCTATATACCTCCGTTTCTGCCTCTAGGCATGTGCACTGGTGTCTCAGGCAGATGTCCAGTACCTATCTATAAGCCCCAGCATAAGCCTCAAACCAGGTGAAGACAGGCATTCTCCCACCTTTTGCTTGTAGGGTCTGATCCAGTAGGTGTGTTCAGAGCATGCCTAATTCCACACAAAACACTTGGGAGGGGAGAGAGAGGAGGCAGCAGCCTCCCTTATAATCATTAGTTATAACCAGTGGTTAGGGTACTCACCTGGGATGTGGGAGACCCCACTTCAACTCCCTCTCTGCCTGATGAGAAGAGGTTCCCACCTCTCAGATGACTGTCTAACCACTGGACTATAGAGTCATCCTCACTCTATTTTTCTGGCCCAATGCATACTTAATACCAAGTGGAATGGCTTTAATAAGAGAGATTGAGACAGATCCACATAAGAATTTCCCATAGTACAGTGATAAGGGTATTGATGTAAAAGGTCAGAAATCCCTATTTAAATGGTTTTCTCCAGTGTGCACTACTTCACATTTATTAACTTTGAATTCCATTTGCCATTCTGTTATACAGTTCAACCAACTGCAGCAGACTTGTCAAATCTCCCTCAAGGATTTGTCACGCACTACATACTTTCCCAAGGGTTGGCAGATACATGGCAAATCTGTACCATTCTCATTGTCTGCATTCTTCTACTAGCTGCCTTGTTGACTTTCCAAGGAAACAGAAGAAAGTGGTGAGATAATAGGTGAAGATTATTGAAGCATTCTTCACATTATGATTCTCCTACAATCAAAGGGTCTAATATACTAAGTAAAAAATGTTTGATGTACCTGGTACGTATTTAAAACCTCCTTTATTCAAGATACTACAGTCAATAAAGAATAGGCAGTTTTAAAGAAAAAAAATACTAGTATGTGCTTTCAGAAATCCAGCTTGAAACCCAACCTGCACCATACAATTGCTACAGGAGTCTTCTTGTTTTGGTCCAAAATAATTTTTGCTTCTTGTATTACAGGAATAACATACACTAGAGTGTGGACTTGCTTGAATGCTTGAAGAAGAAAAACACTGTATTATTAGTAGTAGTATTATTGTAGCACCGTCATGGACCAGGAGCCCACTGTGCTAAGCAATTTTCAAATGCAGAACAAAAAGGCGATCCAGACCCTAAAGAGCTTATAATCTAAGTGCGCACAGCTTATCTTTATAGGCACTTGTATACTACAGAGATGCGCATAGTATAGTAATCTCTATAGAATAGAACTTCTTGTTCAATGCAGCAGAAGTTGTGATTTTATTTTTAAGTACATCGTCACTGGAAGGATAACACTGCTCTACAGCCAAAATGCTTCTGAAATAAATGTAGTCAAACTTTACTAATTCTGGGTCACTGAGAACGAAAATGATGCTTAAAATTGTTGATTGGCTCTAGTTTTCAAAATATGCTATTGGGTCAGTATATACGACCCTTGACTTGGGAATGGCGGAGGATAAGTGAGTTATAAAGGGAAGGGATCTCAATTTAAACCAGAAATGACTAAAATACATCTTTGACTGGATCTATGAATAAATCTATGACTGGGTTTGGACAATACTTGCTTTTTAGGCAAAACAATGAATGATGCAATCTGAAGCTGGTATTGCGTCATCCATGGTATGAAATGCATGCTGTTATTCCTAGAAGAATGGATGATGCAATCATAACGAAGCTTACAT